CCCCCCCCGCCGCTGAACAGGCCCATGAAAACAGCCATTTGCTGCAGTTTTCTTAGAGAAGCTGGCATTTTTCCCTCCCTGAAAAGAAAAAGGGAAGACATTTGTTGTCAAAGAAGAAAGCTAAAGGGTTATTTCACCCCCTCCTCGCCACCTCCTCCTCTTTCCTAAAAGCCCTTTCCAACCAGGCCTGAATGAAAGCGCCGCGCACAGCCATCGGGCTCTCGCTCGCTGGGGCCCCACCGCGCGCCCAGAAGGAAGGGTGATGAGAACAGAGCAAACTGGGAACCCAGCTGGGTTCAATGTGTTTATTCAACTTCTTTTAGCGATGCCACCACTTTGCTAATTGCCGAGAAGAAAATGACCTCCCTGGCGGCGTGGCCGGGGGCCAGCACCGCGACACATTGTCCGGAGGGGAGCTCCGGGTGCCGATGCGCTCCCTCGCACACTGCGAACATTCAGGCTCCGGGGACCGGATTTCTCTCTCGAGTAAACTCCTCTAAAGTAAACACGCTCGCGGCAGGGCTGGATTTGGCCTGGGGGGCTAAGGGACGGAGCCAAGCCAACGCCGTGCCAGCAAGGAGAATGGAGCCGGGGCCGGGGGGGGGGTGTAGGTATTCTGTTGTGTTGGGTTTTTTCCCAAGCCGTGGATAAACAGGAAGGCTCTTGCAAGCTATTTTTCTTCCTTCCTGCGTGTCCCCCCACGCCCCCAGCCCGAGCTTTGCCCTTTTAATGAGGCACAATTTTGGCATTTGAATGCATGACCCAGCAGAAGAAGAGACACCTCTGAGAAAGTCGGGTTGCTAAACCCTTTGGGTGAGGGGGGGACCCGAAGAGCTTGAGCTAATGCCCCTGCCCACAGCGGGTTAGCAGGGGTCGGGCTGGGTCATCAGTGGGAGAATAGCACGTTCCTTCGGGCTCTGGTAGGGTGGGACTTGGCCGAGCATCCCAGTATCGGCTTCTGCTCTTGCTTCTCTCGCAGCTGGGATGGTGGGGAGGAATGGTCTTGAGAGCAATTTTAAAAAAAAAATTTAAAAAAAAAGTTAGCAAAAGGCTGGCCTTTTTGATGTAGGTACATAGACACCTATGTGCATTACATTTCTAATCCCAAAGGCTTCCCACCTCGGTCCCTGTGCCACGATGGTGGGACTTAACCAGCTCTCGCCGAGCGTTAACACTTAATAAACCAAAGCCCAAGCCAGGTACAGAAATGTGACCTGGGCAAGGCCGTTTGAGTCCTGTTGTGAAAAACCACCTCGAGCATCCCTCGGGTATGCGTTACTCAGGTATTGCTCAGCCGACAACCACAGTTTAGAGAGGGTGGAGAGGCAAATGTCAGGACTCCTTCCCGTCGTGGCCGGGTCAGGGTGACACGGGCAGCCTCCCTCTGCTCGCCGCTCTCCTGCCATGCCCGTACGCCGTCTCTTGCATCCTCTAGCCCGAGGGAAACCGTGAATGTGACCCAGGTACAACTTTTATCTACTGCCCTGTCGGCACTAGCGCTCAGTCGTAACGCATGCTATCCTTAGTCGAAGGCTTTCCTTGTTAACTAGTTCCCTTGATTTTAAAAGCTCTGACTATTTCGGTTTACTGTTTAATTTACTTCGGATTTATGGATGGCTAGTAAGGGTAGCAACGCAGAGAAGCACGTGGGTGTTATGTCTATTTTATGCCCCCAAATTGTGCCATTGGTACAGTCAGCCATCACGTCTCTCGCTTCTGATCTGTTTCTCTGACAAGTTTTCTTCTTCGCTTCCCCTGGGGAACTTGAGCAGCGTGAGAAGTTGCAGCAGAGGAAGTACGAGTGTGTTTTTACAGAGAAACGGCGGCAGTCGTTTCACAAGGACAGCGAGAGCTTTCTGCTTCCCCCCTCGCATTTGCAACTTTCCTTAAATCATAATTTATAACGTTATTTCCTCCCCTCAAATGGCAAAATCTGATTAATAACTGAGTTTCTTGTAAGATCCAGATGGCCAGGAGGAGGATCTGACACCAACAACGCATAGCAGGGGAGGGGAAAAGGTGGTAAATCTGGACAGGGGATCAGACGTAACAGAATGGGACCCGTGGCATTTGGGTTTTGCCCCTTTCAAAGTTGCGGCCAGGCAAAATTTGCTTTCGGTGGTGAAATTCAGGGTGATTGAACGCAAATGTCTGTGGGTGGGGGGTGCTGCCAGCAGTTTGCTGAGCAGAAGTGGGAAGACGCGGAGCTCTTGCACCAGGGAGGAGGTTTTGACCAAGGCCCAGGGGACCTGCCTCGCAAAGGGCGGAAATGAGAGGTTCTGCAACTCGCCGTCAGCGGGTTTGAGGTTTGTTAGGTCTCACGGTCTGCTCGTACCCAAACAAGAGGGATGGAAAGCAAGAGGAGCTTCATGTTGATCAGTCACATGCTGGTGCACATCACGGCCTCCGCTTGCAGCAAGTCAGTGGCCGCAACCCCCCCTCGCTGGTGCCGTGCCGAGATGGTGCCGTCTGGCACGGGAGCTTGGCAGCTGAGAAATGGTGATCCCAGTAAGCACCGCTGTCCCACGCGGTGCTCCCGGCTGCTCCTGATGTGCTGTCCCTGCCTGCAGCCATCACCCCTTGCTGGTCCTGGTGAGGCAGAGATGTCGGGGGCTGAGGTGCACCCAAGTTGCGAAGCCCGCACCGGCTCTGCAAAGGTCTTTGTTGCCATAACAGGGGGAACATCTCCGTTGTTTGCTTTCGGCCGCAGTGGGAAGCTCACAGGCTGGACCACCCGATCCCCAGGCTAGCCCTTGATGCTCTCCTCCCACTTGTTTCTCAGCTGTTTTCCCAAGCCAGTCTTATGACAGCACGCTGCGGGAAGAGGTTCAGAGCTACGCATTTTAACAAGCCTCTCAAGACCTTGCAAACCTTCTCTTTGGTCCCACGGTTCCCTGTTAGCTTCCAAAAGCAAGGACAGAGGTGTCCTTGGAGCCCAGTGCATCCCTCACAGGGGGGATGCTGTTCCCCTTCCCTGCCATCATGGTCCCTTGCGGCATGGATGTCTGGATATCGCATCCAAATTCTTCAGCATCTCTCGGCACGCAGCTGCTGATGACTTCTGCATGATGACACTGGAGATACTCATGGTGTCAGCTTGTGGAAGACCAAAACGTAGTCTGCGAGGACTCATCGCTAGGATTTCTGCCCTCTGGCCAACCGTGTTTGCTGCTCCCACCTGCTGAAGTGCCACAGAGGCGGCTCGCTAGGGAAGGGAAGCAGAACCTTGCCCAGAAACGTGCCTCCTGTCCTGAGCCTTTCTGAAAATCACTTACAGCCTGCAAAGCGTAGGGGCTATTAAAGGGAAGGTCCAAACCCCCTCGGCTTCATTTACCACAAAGGTAGTAACTGTAAGGCAACACATTTAGGAGAACCTTACAGATACAGCATGCAATTGCCTCCTAAGGAAGGAAGTTCACGTTGCTATCTGTGGTGGAGATCTCCCCTCAGAACCTGTTATACGACTAAAAAGTATGCAAGGCAACTGGTGGAAAAACAGATTTCTTCACAGCCGGTAATTAAAAAAGCACAATTTCTAAGCTACGCTGTTCTGCAAAAACATCTTCTCCTCTGTGCTATTTGCAGTGGTAAGAAAGATTAAGTGGAGATTGGCACACACAAAACCACCAAGCCTAGAGTTACCAAAAGAAGAGACATTAAATCATTATAAGTAGTGTTCTCTAAAAATAAAGAGCAGAGCTTCCTAATAAGGGCGATGTTAATTTTGTACCTTAAAAATAATAAGATATGGTGGAGAAGGTAGTATTCAGGCTTGACTTGAGAACTAAGCAGGACTCAGGCAGTTAACAAGAAGATTTAACACACCCAGAGAGGTGGAAGACTCCCAGGGTCACATGTGAACTGGTGGGTTACTGCAACAATAAATTCTGGTTTTAATTAGACTCTGTTTTCTCCACAGAGGATCTTCTAAAAATAGGCTGGGCTTAAGAGATGCTCCCTTATTCCAGCAAATTCAGCTTTTCTGTTTTGGTCTCTGAAACTCATGTGGCAGAGGTTGGTCTCGGGCACCTCCACCGAAGGCAGGTAGTGACGAAGCAAGGGCATTTTCACCAAGCCACAAGCAGTCATTTTATTTGCCTCAGAGCTGAGCGAGGGAGCTGGGGCTGCAGGTTCTTTGGGAAAGTCATTTCTTCCTCCTTCTCATCTTCCTTCTCCTCTTCCTGGCACTACCAAGCTCCAGCAGCACCTCCAGCTTCTGGGTGCTATGGCAGACCAAAGAGTAAGCAATAATATTGCTCTGAAATCAGAGAGAAGCAACTTGATCCATGCAAACTTGATGTGATCACTGCTGGCTATCTCAATTTGGGTCACTGCCTACCCACCTGGCCAAGACAATATACTGCCAGGCCACCGATACAAGCAGCTTGGGAGCCTTTAAACCACTTTGAACCACTGTCATCCGGAGGTGTTGGCATGAAATACTAAATATGTGTGGCAAAAGACTACTATTAAATTAAATTAAAGCTTATTGATAGGCCTGAACGCGGACCTGAGCACCTAACTTCAAGGCTGGAACTGTTGCCTAACCTTTCTGCAACAAAACTCTCCCTTGAGCTGGTGGGATTTGAGTTGGCCCCAGGTCCGGCTTTTCTGCAAGCCACCCAGGTAGTGATGGAAGTCACAGGAGATGAGGGTAATGTCAGGCAAACCACACGCAAGCACACACTTGTATTTCACATTCTTGCTGTCTTGCCCATCCATTGATCGTGTAAGATCCATAAGGCAGCGGGGCGTGAGCCAATTTCTATACTAATAACATGCCAGGACAACGTTTTAGAGACAGCTTCTTGACACTCGCCATCTACAAAATACCTTCATCATCACCAAAGAGAGGACAGGACAGCAGAAGTGTTTCAACAGGATGATCGTTTCAGCATGTTATTTTCCTCTTTTTCACGGAAATAGTCTCAACATCCCGGTTACCTCGGTAAGTAGGTAACAGCAAATTGTGTCCCCTGCCAGCACGTTCAGAAATACCAAAGACTTTGCGTGTATGATCTGCCCTCACCAAAACCTCAGCAACTTGCAGGAAAGAAGTTTGCTTAAT